TGGTGTCGAATAAATCTGTGTCGAATCGAGCGGTGTCGAATCGTACTGTGGTCAATAGAGTATCACCCGACGTTCCCTCTTTCTTTCTGCTGTTTCTTTTGCTAACATTATTGCTTCGCAATAAGAGACCACTGCGTCCCAAACTTCTACGTTGGCGGTCATCCCCCGGAGAAGAACCGGTAGAGACAGATCACCGCCAACCACATCACACAAGACCGCGCGCTCACCTTCCCACGCGGGGCACTCTGCGAGCATGTGGCGCGCCGCAGTGCTCGCATTCAGGCAATCGGACGTTCCCGATGCGTTACAGGTACTCACCGAAGCACCCGTGCCCGGTGAGTACCTGCGTTGTCTGGAACGTAAGTTGGCCAGCGTGTGGCCGATCTACCCATTTCCGGAGAACGGGTCCTAGGATTTCTCGAAGTTCCGGAGCAAGCAGTCTTGGATCGCGCACGCGGGCGCGCTACTGCCTTATCATTGTCTTGCGCACGCGGGCGCAAATTTCTGTTACGTCGGGGGGAGGGTCTTCCGGAGGACGCCCCCGTAACTCTCAAAACACCTCGCTCAGGTATGATGTTTGGAGTTCAAAGGGCGGGGTGCCAGCCAGCATGCCAGCAGCCACACCCAAGACAGTGCGATACGCGCACACAAAGCCAGAGTTTGCTGGAGACGCCGGAACGCAGTACGACCTCAGGTGCTTTTGAGAAGGTTGTCCGCCCACACCGGGGCTCCATACAGAATTATAGACGTAACGACCATAGCATACAGGCGGCGTCGACGCTCACCCGGACCACGTGGATTAGGCATAAATTTCCCAAGAGATGTCATCACGCGCTCGCCGCGTGCTAGTACCGCCTGGAAATGGGCCCGGAAAGTCCACTGCCCATCAATCAGCAGCCCAAGGTATTTAATGTGTTGGCGGATGGGCACTAGGGCTCCGGCCAACTGAATACCCTCGGGTAGTGAGTCGTGGTGGCGGCCGTTGAAGGCAACCACCTCCGTCTTTTCCGGTGCAACTCGGAGGCCGAGACGCTAAATAGCGCGGATCAGCATCTCGGTGCCAAGCATGGCGTAATTAATTGCCACTGCGGTCGACCGGCCTTCAGCAATAAGAAGGGTGTCGTACGCGTAGCAAATCAGGCGACACCCAGGAGGAAGTTCTTTGCGGAGGATTTTGTCATAGGCGATGTTCCACAGAAGTGGTCCTAAGACTGATCCCTGCAAGACACCGCATACCACGCGTCGGCGGTATAGGTCGCCATCTTTACCTACGTAACTAATCCACCGTTGGTGGAGGTAGTCACCAACTATCGCCCGGACATAGTCGGGAAAGGCTCGGCACTCCATGGCGGACAGTATAGCGCGCCAGGGGACGGAGTTAAAGGCGTTTGAAATGTCAATGCTGACAGCCACCGCCACTCCGCCCCTGGCCGCAATTTCCTCCGTATACTGGCGAAATCGCAGTATTGCATCGATAGTCAAGCTGCCAACCCAAAATCCAAACTGCGAGTCGTCCAAGTTCCACCCGGATTCTCGCAGGTGGTGGTGGATACGACTTGCGATTATCCGCTCTAGAAATTTCCCCATCTCGTCAAGCAGACAGATGGGGCAATAAGAGGACGGCAAGTCGTCCGGCTTTCCTGGTTTATGTAACAAGACGAGGCGGGAGCGTTTCCAGACCTCGGGAAACCGGCCTTCCGCAAAACAGCGGTTGTAGCACTCTTTGAGACAAGCTTGCAGAGGATGGTAAGCGGCAACGAACAAGTGGTTGAAGATGCCGTCAGGCCCTGGACCGACAACTCCAGGACAAATGTGGCGGTGAACACCGCGCAGTTCTCCGTCCGTGATCTTCAAGTCTGGGGACCAGTCGGAGGGTAAAACAGTCTCCCGAGGCTCCTCGTTTTCTCCACCTAGAAATAGGGTGTCCAGGGCAGCGCGTACCACCTGGGGGTCGAGGGTTTTCGTTAGTGAGAGGGCTGATGGGCGTAGACGGTTCATTACAACCAGATATGGTCGCCCCCATAGATCGCGCTCAACCGAGTCAACTAACTCGCATCATGCTCGGGTCTTTGCGGCGCGGATGGCATTACGCAAGATCTTGCGCGCTTCGCGCAGGTCAGCCTGCAGACCCGCAACTTCAACGGCGCTTGCGCGCCGGCGGCGACGAACTAAAACGCGACGACAACGAATACACGCGCGGCAAAGATTGGCGATCTCATCATTCCAACAATTCACCGCGCGGTTGCGATTTGCTCCGCCTACGCGGGACATGGTGGAGTCACATGCCTCCGTGACGGCTTCCCGGAGCCAGCATGCGGAGTCCTCGACCGTGTCCGGGGGCACGAGGGATGAGGCTAGCTTGAGACCGATGACCTTTTGATAAAGAGAGAGGTCCAACTCGGCCTGGCGCTTCCGAGGAAAATACACCGTAGTGCAGTCCGGCTTGGGGCAGACCTTTCTCCCTACGGTAAAGAGGATGTAGTGGTGGTCCGACAAGGACTCAGTGTTCGGAGCCACTCGCCACTCGTGCGCAATTGTGCAAGCCGCAGGCGTTGCCCACGTGATGTCAATCACCGACGTTCCTTGTGCGCGATCGCACGTGGGAACGGAGCCAACATTAAGAGTGGCAAGGCCCAGGCCGTGTCCCCAAGCCTCAAGGAGACGGCCGCGTGAGTCCTGGCGTGTACTTCTCCAGACCGGAAACTTGGCATTGAAGTCACCGGCCACGATGACGATGCCCGGAAGGAGAGGGCGAATGGCCGCACTGAGTTCGTAGAGATAATTTTCGAATTCTGCCAAGGTCCGGTTGGGAGAGAAGTAGCACGAAAACACGGTATACATTCCAAAACGCGCCGCCACAAAGCCTTCCCCTGCCGTTACTCGCCGATAAGGATTCGGGCAGCTACGAGGACGCCAATAGAAAGCACAAAGGCCGTCCTCGCTGCTCACCCAGTGCGGATGATTGGGAGTTGCGTGGTGTTCAGAAAGAACTGCAATTCCAATATCCTCTTCCGCACAGTATTGCAAGGCCAAGTCCTAGGCCGGTCGAGATCGGTTCAGGTTGGCCTATAAAATACGCGTCATTATGATGTGGCGTCCCGTGCGTCGACATCCATATCACCAGCCGCAGCGGACCTCCGTTCCGCTGTCAACTGGGAATCTTCACGCAGTTGCGGGCGCGAGGCCGGTACCGGGGCCTTACATAAACGGCTGCCGATGCGGTGAGCCGCGTCACGACCAAGAGCCGCGCTTACGGAGCACCGCACAGGGTTACGACACATGGGAGCCTAGTGGCCTTCTTCCCCGCAGTTGTAGCACTGCTTGCTTCTATCGGCCAGTGCAGTGCATTTTAGGCGCGTGTGGCCAAACTGAAGGCAGCGGAAGCACTGTAGGCCACGCGCCTTCAACAGTTTGACCCGAGCCATCGACCACCTAAGTCGGAGACGACCTTTGCGTACAAGGGCGTTGGCAGCCACTAGTGGGCATTTTACCCAGGCAGTATCAAGGCTCCGCGTGAGGCGAAAGAGGCCCACTTGGACCGCAGCGCGGTCACAGCCTGTGGCCAACGCAACCGCCGTTTGAACCTCCGATTCATCGACGGAGTCTTCAATTCCGAAGAGGCGCAGTTCGGCCATTTGCATGGGCCGACCAATCCGGACATCCTCCTTGTGCTTCTCCAGCACCGTGCGCATTCGGGCGGCTAACTCGTCGGCCTTAGTGTGGCCGTCTGGACCCGGGTTTGCAATGACAATTTCACCGGTTTGAGAACGGCGGATTGATGTCTTTTCAATCCCTATGTCCGCAAGAGTGATATTCTGACGGATCTCTCTAAGCGCAGCCGCCGTGGTTAGCCCGTCACCAACACAGGTGAGAGTGACTGCAGCTGTACGTATCGGCCTGCGGCGCGATTGCGACCGTTGCCTACACGGTTGGGGCGGTGGGAACGCATTGCGCTCTTGGGGAAGTGCCACTTTTGGGGCAGCTTGACGGCTGCCAGAGCGGCCACGGTTTCGACGAGCTACAACAGCCCACGTGTCCTGAGGAAGGAGTTTATCCCCTTCTCGTATCTCAACCTTCGGTTCTAGGAAGCGTGGGTCGATACCCGGCTGACGTACTTGAGGCTGAACGAGCAGCGCTACGACGACCGCGACGTCGACGATTGCGACGACGAGGGGCATTGGCAAGAGGCTGCGTTGCGCCGGATTCATCCGGAACGAACTCAAGCCGCGGTGTTCCCGTGGTGGCAGCGAGTACGTCGCTGAGTGCACGAGCGGCTGTCTCAACAGCCTCAACCGGCTAGAGACCCGCAGGAAGGCGCTGGATGGCCGCAAGAAAATGGATGCGCACATCTACAGACGCCGTTGGGGCAGGAGAAGAGACTCTGGATGGCCGAGGAGCAAAGCGGTCCTCAGGAACCACCGCACGTTGACCCTAAAGAGCCGGGCAAAGGACAGGTTGCATCCGACGTCGATCCGCGAGCCAGGAATGACGTACCCCGAAAGGCGAGGGATGCTTCGGCTTCACAAATGACAGAGCAAAGCCCGGGCACTGTCTCGGCGCGTCCCGCTTTGGGAAAGGTCTGGGTGCCGCTGTGGTAGACTGAGGGCGGCGTAGGCGGTCGCAGGCCATGTTGGATTTGCAAGTGGTTGACCTCGGTCTCCAAGTTGCAAAGGCGTCGACATTCGGCTTCGACTGCACAAAAGCGTTCTACCTCCTTCTCTAGGTCTGTAATGCGTAGCTGGAGCTGCTGCTCGTTTACCTTTGAATAGGCTACGTTATCTTGGCTCGATAGTACAAGTACCGCTTGCTTAGCCCGGACTATTCTGTCCCGCATCCGTCCACTAAGTCCGCCCTGCAGCGAATTGGCAAATTTGTTACGTATCTCCTCAAGCTCTTTAAGCTACGTGGGGAGATCCAAATACACTACAGTAGGTGGCTGGTGGTCGTAGTCTGCCATTCCCTATATGATCTCGCGCACCTTCCGTTGGTCCGCTTTTCCAGCGTATTTGGAGGAAGAGGCAGGAGGAACCAGAGGTGGATCCAGGGCCTCTTCGTCTGTTGTTGACGAAGAAATCACGGCGCGTTTCTTGCGCTTGCAAACCGGCTTTGTAGCAGGTTTCTTTGAGGATAAAGGACCAGCTTTAGGTTTTGCAGTAGCGGATGGAGCTTCAGGCTGCAGTTTCTTGAGGAACGCAGCGCGCGTAGCCTTCGCGGGAAGATCAGAGATGTCCTCTACCTCTACGTCCATATCGGACATACTCAGCCGAGCAATCGGGGCTAAACGCCGTGCTACGAGAGCGCGGGGTAGCGCAGCCGCAGTCGTTTTGAGTGCCGGTTGTATGGGAGGCTATTTCGAACAAGGCACCCCATTGCTCCTCACGCTCTATGGACTCCATGGTCTCCAATGCAGAGCGTGGCTTACGGCTCCGTGACAGAGTCGGACTCTGTTGTTCCGGCAGGAGCGGAACAACAGAACAGCGGAACATCCTCAGCGGTAGCAACATGACACAAAATGCCCGCTGGCAACACTTTGGTCGGCTCCTCGTAGGATGACGACACAGGGAGAGCGGGGTCACTAACCCTCCCTGCGCCGGCCGCTGTGAGATCCGAGGCACACTGCGACGGTAAGTCCTTGCTCATTGTGATGTTCATCCCATAACTTGCTGAGGTGGTTTGTACTCAGAGTTGCCGTTTCCTAGGGCGGTGGCCTCCCAAAACTAACAAGCCCGTCCTGCCCAGGTTTTCTGTCAGAGTTTTCCTTCCCTTAGTGCGGCTCTCCCACGTGGGGTAACAAGCCCGCACGCCCGGATTTAAAATCAGGGTTTACTCCCCTATTCCGACTGCACCGTGGCTGACGAGGTCGGACGTTCCCGGATTTTAAGTGAGAGTTTTCTCCCCTATCCCAGTTGCCCCCGTCCTTGGGGACTAACGAAGCTGAGACCTCCGAATTTTTTATTCGAGGTTTTCTTCCTTTATTCCCACTCTTAGTACGAGAGCTCAGTAAAGGGCCTGTCTGGCATGGATGACACTGCCAGAAACTCAAAGGAGTCCCCGCCAACATAGCCCCTTCACCTCACCGCTCCCAAGCCCGAGCACCACGACAAGGTGGTGGGAAATCGCCCGGGAACCTTTTTTTTTATTTATTTACGCAGGGGAAATGCGTTTACGCACACCCTGACCCATACCAGGTCTGGGCCAGGAGTGTGGGACTCGCCTCGCCAGAGCGCACCCCGGCGGGGAATCCTCACTAAAACTCCTGCGGTGTCCGCCTTTCACCCTTTGAGGGCTGCTCCGATACTGCTTTTAGCTTGACCCAGAGGCAGCCCGGTAGGTATGAGCTTGCGCTCCGTAACCTAATGGTGAGAGGAAAGATATTTCCCCCATCTCCGCGACGAAGCAAGGGAACACAGCCCCGCTTCGCCGCCGCTGGACATAAGTCCCGGGTCAAACACTTCCCGAAGGGAATAGACCCGTCCCCATAAATTGGTCATAGCCGATGCTATGGCCCTCTCCCCATGCAACTCCTGGGCTGCCCCCTACCAAGCACTTACTTAAGCTTGAAGAAAGCAGGCCCAAAACAAACCTTCTTTTTGACCCCCCCCCCCCGATCTGACCAGGGCCGCAAGCGCAAGAAAAGGCGCGTTTCGTGTTCCTCGTCACAAAAACAAAAGACCCTGGCACAAAGTACGCGAATATGCAATCCATGCATATAATTAACAATTGCGTTATTGATGTAATTAGAATAAGCTCATATTTTGTTAAAATAAAAGTAGTATTCGTGATATTACTTAACAAAGTAAGTGATACTTACCTCTCCTGGACGATCCTTTCCCTGGGCGTAGATCTTGAAAAAGGGCAGAAGGGCATTTTAAACAGGAAGAAAATGGACGATGGTGCTCATCTGTCCCTAATCATGCACCTGGCAACCGTGAAAACCTGCTAGAGTAAGTACTCTAATAAAATGTGTTATATTCTCCGGCCACAACCTAACCTTGTCACCGGAACCAGTAGGTGACGGTTTTGGTTTTGGTGCGCTTGTGGCTCTTGAACCGAGAAAACGGTTAGTTCATACGCCAGTCTATGTCTGTATGTAGATATAAAGAATGTTAGCAAAAATATATGCTAAAAGTGTCCAAAAATATTCACAGTAGAATTACGCACATCCAACCAACACGGCTGATGCAACGCTACTCAAACCTCAAAAAAAACTAACCAGTAGGTGACAGATGCATGACCGAGGACAAACGCGAGAAACCCGAAATCCAGCCAATCGGGACAACAATTCAACCATTGGCCGAGGAAATGCAGCCAACGGTGGAGCCGGATGCGCAGAAGGAGGTGCGCAAACCCACAGAAGGCGACGGCAGCAAAGATGGCGCGTGAAGACGCCTTAAAGACTGTTAATGTGTTAATTTTAAGTTGCGCGTTGAAGCCAGCGTGGCTTTAGGCAGCGAGAGGGCGTAAGGCCTAATTTATTTGTTTTTATTTTAATAAGCGCAAATTTTATTATATTGTACCAAGTTTAGACAAAAAAACGCGAAAAACATGCGTGCATAACAAGTTTGAGCAAGGTGCCTATTTTTATTTTATTTTTGTTATAAACTTTTTTGTTTAGTACCGCGTAGTGTAACCAGTGAGTAAGTAGCTCAAAAAATCTAAAAAATAATTTTATTTTTATTTTTTAAATAGTCACGTTTTCTAACAGGCATATGGATATACCGGGTGATACTCTATTGACCACAGTACGATTCGACACCGCTCGATTCGACACAGATTTATTCGACACCAAATTATTCGACACCGTACGATTCG